TGCATCAAAAAATAATTTTGACAATTTTTGAAATGAAAAAAAATATACTCGAGACACTCTGAAGTAGGACCCTCCCCTCCCCTGTTAAGGAATTCTGCTAGCAGTCCTTTGTCGAAACAAAAAGCGAACAAGTCGTCAACACTTAATATATTTTGAGCTTTAAGGAAAGGAAATTAGTTGCTTTTCGGACGCCATCAAGAAAAGAAAAATATCCTTTTCAATTAGTATTTAAAGCATGAAATGTCACAGACATCTAACGTGAACTATATTGAGTAACATTAAGGATGAAAATGCAATAAAGTGATATTCTCTTAATTATTTTTTTTCCGTTGATTCATGGAGTTGTAACTTTTTTTTGTTGATTTGGTGTTTTTGATACTTTGAGACAACATTCGATGCTCACCAAAATATTGAAACCCGCGCCATAAATCGGTGGTGGGGAATAGATGGTTTTCAGGGGGAACGGAGGAAGGATCAGTCGTCGCTAACAAAGTATATAAGTGGACTTAACAAAATTGGTTGCCAATTTACTGCAAATGAGTGGGTTTTCTTAAAATATCTTGCCACTGATGAGATGATTGCTGACAATCTAACGAAGCCTTTCCCTAAGCACCGCTTCGAGAAACTAATCTTCAGGTCGTGAAGCTACGTTTTAATTATCTAATTTAGATGGACCTACATACAAACATAATACACTCTGAAGGAAAGTGGCAAAAATTATTTCTACTCGATCGCCTCTACAGTTTTGTTGCCACCTCTATGTTGCCATCCTTTATCAAGTTTTTATTCATTTTAAGCGTGAAATTCAATTATAAAGAAGAGAAACTCAACATTTAATACGTATACGTGCGAAGCATTTCAGCCATTTGCTAATGGTCACGGGGTAATGTAGACTACAGTCTCGATCTTTCAGTCTAATTCTCGAGTATATGATCCATTCCTTTCATCATTATCTATTTCCTCTCTCCTTAGAAGTCATAAGCTCGCGTTGTTTCCATTAGATAACGATATTCTTCGTCCTCTTTTGAGAATCCCGCCATAACCCTATCAAGCCGCTGAAACAGGTCATACTCTCTTTTCTCTAATTTCCGAAGATGAGAGTTAGCAACATCCTCTTGGAATCGAACTTTCTTCCTTTTTTTAACTTTGCAGTGTTCGTCATGGCTCATTCTTCCCAGTGTTTTCAAGAATTTGCTAATTCCATCGAAAAATGATTTTCCTCTTGAGTGTTTCGGCTGTTTTTCTCCTGGTTCTTGACCTGTTTTTCCCCTCAAAGCTTTGATGGCCTCACTGATTTGGTCAAAGTTGATTTTTGAACTCTTCGTGG